ACGGACCTGAGTTTCACCAAATACATTAGAACAAACCGTACAGACATTAATAGAAAGGTATCAATTGCTGATCGGCTTTTCATCTCATTTAACATCAAAGCGTAATTAAGTATTGTAAAAGATACTGTATCTTTTCAAACTTGAGCACTTGGAGAATATTAAAAGTGCTGTGACTGTCACCGTATTCAGACCTATGGAAGCCTTCGACCCATGGCAGACAGAAAAGATAAAAATAAGACATATTACAGGCTCCAACAGGCTTTCTACATTATTGTATCCACTCGTCCAGCTTGTAAAATGGAAACAAATACATCAAAAGCTACACGATGCACCCACATACCCCATCATATTATCGATTTTCATCTTATCCAGAAAAGCCCAGAGATTTATAACTTTTCTCAAACAGCGTAACGGTGCCAGTACAAATAAAATTGGAGCTTTCATTATACCATTCGGCCCGTTTCCACTCTCGTCGAACAAAATAGGTCATCTTTTATATTTTGATTCGAGGTTGATCCTTCCGTACACTCTGAGAAGCTCTCAGTGGCGCACTTATGTCTCAGTCCATGAAATCGAAGGAAAATGAAATATTTCGTCTACACTTCTAGATACTTATCTGTTGCGAAATAAGTTCTGTTTTAATATCATATATCAACCGTTCCTTCTTTTTAACATCACTTTTTGATTAATGAGTTCTCACTATATATGTTGATAATAATGATGTTTATGCGTTTTTGCTTATTGAACTGGATCAACTACCTGGCCCGATTAATTAGTTTTTTTTTCATTTTGAACTAAATGTTTATGTTTCCGCTAGAATAAACCATTTATTTTTTGAAATTTATTCCTTTATCAACAATTTCACTATACACTGGAAACCAAATACCACTGACGTGATGTGTACGAGAGAGAAGCGCGAGAAGCGTGCAATACATGTGTTAGAAAGAGATAGAAGCACCTCGTTGCTTAGCAGTCCGAGTATGGGCTCGCGGATGTCATCCGCGCACTCTTTCTAGCACACATTGCACGCTTCTCGGGCTTTCGAGCATATTACGACGTCAGCCAAAGAACCTTACCATATGTAGACAACCACAAATTTGTTTTCTTTATGTTTTGCACTAGGTCACGCGCCTGGCCTTATCAACTACGTTTAGCCCTTTGTTTTTGAAATAAAGTGTTGCCTCCGCTCCGTAAGTGTTGACCACTTAAAGGGTGTTCATTTGAAAACTTAACACCACGGATTTATCGAAAAACGCTGATTAAAAGAAAAAACGCCGAGATACGTCAAAAGACTTGTCAAGGGGGACAGCTTTTTAACCAAAAACTACTTCACCCCCTTTCACCCTCTGCAACCCAGGGCATCCCCTTGAAAATCTTAAATGACAAGGGCTATCGAGTAATAGCTTGTTTGAAAGGTCTTTCGGAGTCCTTTATTTTGACGTTTGATTTTTTAAGATCGGTCTATTCGTTTTCAACAAAATTAGAGAAGTCTTTATTTATCTTAATTTGTTCTGATAAAAAACAAAAACACACGAAAATGTCACTTTTTATTTCAATAAGTGTTCAAAATGTTGCCAGATATTGTCCGAACAATGATATAGGCGATGTTCAAATTCCTGGATGGACAATTTAACCAAAAACATGTCGTGGGATATCATGGCAACTTTCGACGATCCGTTGGCGAAGTTCATCCAAACTTTCGGGTTGGGGAGTTAGCACAACAGATTTCAAATAGCCCTATAGAAAAAGGCTGATGCGTCAAATCAGAAGATCTAGCAGGCTATTCTATAGATCCTCTTCGCCCTATCCATTTATCTGGAAACTCGTCGTCTAGCCATTGCCGAACCGGAAGAACACAGTGATGAAGAGCGCCATCTTGCTTGAAATATATTTCAGCCTCACCAAGTGAAGGGTTTCCATCTTCTTCGATTTGATTTTCAATGGTTTCAGTGATAAGTGGATTGATGGTATTTTACAACATATCCACATAAATGTCTCCATTCAAATTTCCATTAATAAACAATGACCACCTTGTTTCCTAAAATGCCTGCCCATACATTAACATTTTGGGGGTACTGGGTCCCTTCTAAAAAAGCATGAGGATTTGACGCCATCTTTTGTCACTACCGTCACGCCGAACAACTATAATTCAGGACTTCTCTGGCAAAGCCCATATTTGTCAATTATATAGCAGATTTTTATGTCTCCCCATTTCCCTGTGTTTCTCAACGTAACACCATTCATCCGTCTTTCTAGCCTGTTATGTGCGTAGAAGGAACAATAAGAGGCCACAGTCTCCCCACGATTTTATCCTCGAAAATTACCAAAAACATTCCTCAGGGAGAACTACTTATCCTAATGGAAGTGAACTGTGTCAGAGGCATGGTATTGTATCGCGAATAAATGGCTTGGCTTGAAGCCGGGATCGTTCATTTAATCTGATCGCATTACATCAGGAACTCCAATTTTTTATTAGCATGTTTGGCGATATTACCTCGACGAGATGCGATCCGAGAAGTGCCGGTTTTTCGGTATTTTCTCCTAAATACTGAAAATGTCAACATTTTTCACGATTTTCTCAAAATAATCCAGATATTTTCAGATTTGTACCGAAAAAGAGCTGAAACCAAACATAAAAAAAAGGTCGCCCGTCCTTTTGTGACTGTCCTGGTATATTTCGCGAAAAACGCTCGGACGGAACGACAGTTTTGATTCCTATAGCCGTACAATACAGGGTGATTCAACAATAAGATATTGCCTTATATAGTACCTACTTTAGATTTTTCAATGAAAACCCCCATTTTTTTAATTTTTAGATTTTCTATTAAGTTTTTATTAACCTTTATATAATAAAGTTTATATCTGGAAACTGGATCTGTGTCTAATACAATCGCCATCGAGAAAATAGACCAGATAGAAATAAAGCCACAGAAATAGCAGTTTTGGGACACGCAGCACTTGACAACACCCAAAGCACTCGTGAACTGGCTACTTCTTCAGGATTTATAGGACAGTACAAGGAATTGACCCCATCGAGTGGCCGCCGAGATCTCCGGACCTAAGTCCTCCAGATTACTTTCTTTGGGGGCGTTTGAAAAGTAAAGTTTTTAGTCCGATTCCATTCAAGATCTTCTCCAGCGGATTATGGATGAATGTAGACAAATATCTCAAGACATGATTAAGAATGTGAGGAATAGATTCAAACAAACTCTTTATTATTGCATGGAGGTAAATGGACACGACTTTCAGCACTTATTACCACATCGACCTACATCTTTATGGCAAATTAATTTTTACTTTAACTTTAATCTGCGTATAAACTGTAAATTGTTTTTTGTTTCAAAGTAAAGTCTTGTTACTATGGGAACTATCAAATAGCTCCACAACGATTGAAGATAGGTATAAACTTTATTATACAAAAGTTACTAAAAGCTCCATGGAGAATCTAAAGTTGAGAAAATGGGGACTTCCATTCAAAAATCTAAAGTGTGATCACCCTCTATTGTACGTCTATAGATGAAACGAGGTCCCCCTAGAAATCAAAATTAACGTTTTTTCCCAAAATATTCCAGAAGAGTCACAAATAGAGGTGCGACCTTTTCGTCTATGTAGTCTATGTTTTATGCATCATACCAGTCATGCAGGCGTACGCTATACAGCAGTCACACACGAGGGACGTATATTTGGGTTACCTACAATTACGTACGCACATCCCTATACTAGTTTTTGTATACAACAGGTCATTATCGCATCACTGAACAGCAATCAGAAAACCAAAGCTCGTTTGTGTTCAATATCAGGTGATAAGGCCTCAAGTTCAAGAATGAGACAAAAAAATAATCAGAATCTTATAAACGAGAGTGGCAAAAGGAGTTACAATTATGACTGCAAGTGTCTTTAAAGAGCGATCAATATGTTCACTGTACAAGTTCTCAAAAAACCTGTCTTGTGTATGTGTGCGCAATAAAAGAATATACTTTTTCATGTAGGACGATGTGTAACGCTAAGTCCCTTGATCCATTACTGATCTTGTGACGGCCCTGATGTTTTCCTCCTACCGATTTTGTCCTTGAATCTACCGAATTTCAATAACACTATCTACCGTTTTCGTCTTTTTCTGAACGGCAACACTGGCGGGTAACATTTTTACGGTTGCAGTTTTCCGTAACCATTAAACGGGATATTGTTTTGCAAGCGACATCAAATTCAACGTCAGAGTTTCAGCTTGAAATTTCCTATAATATTCTAACACTTAACAAACAAAAAAGCATACAAGGATTGGGGATTTATGCGTTTTTCGTTTTCAATTGTTGTCCTATCAAGAGTAAGGTACCAATAAAACACAACACCCAATCAGACTAACTAGATTCAGTAGTCTAAGCCAAAGTGCATGAACAATGTAAGGTCCGGGACGAAAAGATAGACCACTCAATGTTGTTCCTCTTCGACAATTCTAACAATTGATATATTTTTTATTTATTACATAATTAATTCTGCTAAAACTAGAACACATTTTCTCCTTAAGGCATAATGTGCGACAATAAATAAATAATACTTGTTTTGGGGTGGGGCAAAAAGATAGAACAGAGGACAATAATAATGAAATTCATTACTAAAACAATGAAAATAATACTAAATCAAAATTTAATATGCTGTATAAGCAGTAAATTTTTCTAATGCAGTGATCATTCGATTTGGAAGCGAATCAAAATGACGACGAATCAACTCTTGAGGGAATTTTGTCACGCCTCCTGAATTTTTTTAATACCTCAACGTTTTGAATATGTCGGATCCCGCATTCTCAATGATCGGGACCTGGCCAATCTATAGTTTTGAAAAATTCTTGTACAATTTTAGCCCTGTGCACTGGAGCATTATCTTGCTGAAAAAATACGTTTTCTCTAGGAACAATTACAAAATATTTTTTTAATAGATTGCTTATCAATTTTACATAGTTTTGGCTGTTCATTCAATCGGAAATAACATAATTAGTTTTGTCATCATAACCAATGCCACCCCATATCATAACGCTGCTTACCCCATTTGTCTTTCAGAAAAGATTTTTTCTTCTTCAAATATGTCATCATAGTAGTGAGCTGATCCATCAGGACCGGCAACATTGAGTTTTTCATCGGTAAACAGGGTTTCCTTCCATTGGTCTTACCATTGAACATGTTCACGGGCCGTTCTTTATGCGCCGTGTTTAGAGATGCCTTTAATTTTATTCCTTTTGATATGAAAATTGCCCGTTTTTTCCGTGCTGTTAAGGCAAGAGGTCTTCCAAGAGATTTCTTCCCATAGCTTTCGGGATATTCTGAAATATCGGAAATGGTCCTCGATTTTTCATTCACTGATATTCCGTTCAATATGTGTTATTAAAATTGTTCTATAGAAAAAAATTGAGTGTTCTATCTTTTTGACCAGGACCTTTACTGTAACGTGTTATCAAAAGATGTCTTTACTATTCAACATCAGTAGACTAGTACAAAAATCAAAATCTCCATATTTTTTAGCTGGAAGAAATTGAGGTTCGGCTCAGCCCCCAATTCCAGTTAAGGACAGCCCCATCTCAAATTCTTGAAGGTGCATCTAAACAGGACACTCATACTGCATTATGTAGCTGAAATAAAATAGCCAGCATACATTTAGGGCACACCAAATGTGAGTACAGTAGGCCTGAGTGTATCAAGTCCCCAGAACAAAGAGTGAGAATAAACTGCATGTTGTCTGCAATTGTGCTACACTGCGGACGAAAGCTGAATGGTCAAGAGGGAGGCCATAGTCCAAGAAACTGCCAAGATAATTGAAAGGTCCTCCAAATGGGCAATATTTCTGTCGCCATGCTTGGCTGTTGGTATGAAACCTATAGCCGAGCTATCACGATCATATTGCAGCATATGACCAGGCTATATACCAATTTATAACTGACTGATTTAAATTGCGCGCCATTTTTGATACCCTTATTTCAGTAGACGGCACCGTAGTAGTTGTTTACGCTACACGATGCCACAACGTGTCCGTATGGTTAAAACGTATGACTTAATGAGGCGACTGTTGGAACGTTTCGGAAGCTACGACAAAATTTCGGTTGAAATAATGTACCCAGTGGCAACATCATTCGTCAGTTGGTGCGGAAATTTGAACAAAAAGGTGTTAAAGACTTTCCAAGGTCGGGCCGTGTTCGAACTGTTCGTACTCCGGATAATATCGAGAGAGTTCTTGAAAGTGTAGTGGAGCGCCCTGAGACGTCTACCAGACATCGTTCTCAGGAACAAGGTATTCGTCGCACGTCATTATGCACTATTTTAAAAAAAGACTTGCATTTGCGGCCAAACAAAATTCACTTAACTCAAGAACTATAGCCTAGTGACCATGACAATACATACAACAATGTATCTTTCGCGAACAATATTTCCGCGAAGATTAATTTCTCGATCTGGTGATAATAACTGGCCACCAAGATCCCCGGATTTAACGGCTCCTGACTTTTTTATGGGGATTTTTGAAAAATAGGGTGTATGCCAACATAATATGACATTTGTCTAATATTATTTTTCATACATAGTATCGTTTCAATAAAAGATTAAGATGAAAAAAATGGACGTATTTTATTACAATTCACAAATATTCAAGATACTAACCAGTCAGTTACAAATCGGTCACCCTGTACCTGTATCTCGATAATAGTGTCAGCAATAATAAACATGCACAGTTGCAGTATGTGTGCAACAAAGATTTCTCGTTCTAGAAAGGTCAAACCCGAAATCACGCAATTTAGCCTTATTTCGTTCTCTAACAGTATAAGTAAATTATGTTGAGTAGATCAACTCTCAGCCATTTCAGCTATTTATATGTATTAGTATTTATACTCATTAGTATTTATTCTTTTATATGTAGCCATGTCTCGAGTGTAAAACGCGATTTGATTTATCATCTTTCCATCTTTGAATCTAGGTATACAAGTATAAAAGTAGATTCCGTTCTTCCTTATTATAGTCAGTGACATTAGAAGTGTTACACTCAAAAAAAAAATTTCATCCACTTGATTTTTTAGCAATGAGGTAGTCTTACATCCATAATGAAATGATAACATTTATTATTGCTTATTGAAATTCTTAGAGACTTCTTGATTTTATTGGACATTCTACTTATTCAAATATGGGGGCAGTGCCTACATGGCACCTTCTATTACATTGATCATGATTTTGATTTTTGAGCTTCCATAACTTTTTAGAACAAGGGTATATTAGTTTAGCACATTTTTATCTTTTTTTTGCCTTTGCTTTACTTTTCTTGTACAAAAAAATGTACATAGTTTTGCTTCACGTGCGATTGTTTTCAATGAGTAGTTTTATCTCAGTCAGAGAGTAGAGTAGATTTTTAAAGTCTTTCTCTCTCTAGGGTTTTTTTTCTTCCTACCATAATTTTTGGCAACGAGGCAAGCAACCCCTGCCCAGTGACGTGCCTACTACCGGCCACTTTTTGACCAGAATTGAGGACATCTCGGCCGCGCCTAACAAAGAACACCTACAGATAAGTTTAATATTTAGGCGCAAAATATCTGTAAATACTTCGGTCGTATACATCTGTGTGTACTGTCACTTAAATTTCGTCATCCCTGTTAGATTCTTCTTTTGTTTGGTGGTCAAGCAAAGCAAGTTCCGACTAACATCTCGGGGAGTTGTGGCTTAATCCGTCCTAAGTCACTGGCGCTCTTAAACCCCTCCCTACCCTCCGCTTTATTGAGCTAGGGCCTAAATTTTTACGCCACTAGTCAACTGTTTTGCTTGGACCAACCGTTATATAGTATTTATCATTGTGAGCGCGTTTATTGAAATTATCACTAAAAGTCGTTGTTAATTCTATCCTATTTGGCAAAGTTGTTTATGAAAAAAGTAAAATCGCTATAGGTTATGAGATAAGAGTCTTGATATTTTGAAAAGATGTCATTTTCTAATGTAATTAAGGGTTGGAATTTCCAAGTCCCTCTGCTTTTCACCTTTGGTCGAACAGACGAAGGCATCATGTTTAGTTTAACATGTACACGCTGCTTGTTCGAATAGAAACGCATCTGGCCGGGCATATGACGTGCTGGGATCACTCTCAGAATGCCTTGAACATGTCTGCGACATTTTGTCCGTGCAAGAGTACCGGGAATTTGTGTTAGAAATAGAAAATTAAGAACATGTAACGGCACACGGTGTGCTCCGCAGTCATTTGGCACAGTTTCAATGATAAATATTGGTTTGTAAGAAGTCACAGAAAGATTAATGGATGACCAAATTATTCAGTTTTAATATTCAAAGCTACTCTAAAAGCAAGAACAAAAATGCGGCACGTACCCGAACAAGTGGTGCTGAATTCAAAGAAAATTTTGCTCTTGCTCGTACGTCGCACATCTAGAACACCGAAAAGCTGGCAAAAATACAATGTGTACGGCGTTTGTAATCTTTATAAGAATAGGAAATGATTCTCATGCATTTCCAATACTTCTTTCATTTTTTGCCGGGTTTTCGAATAGGTAAATAGACCACCGTGGATCGTAGACATTAAACACAATAAAGGACGACTCATAATGTAGTTCCAAAAACTTGCTGATTTATGAATTATGAACTAATTAAACCTAGATATATTGTTCCACATGCGGCTTATGAATGCGTGTCGAAAGAGGTATCGACTAGTCAGATTATTCTAATCTCACTCGTATCAGCCAGAAAAAGGGGTGACGCGGATAATATATTTTTGTTACTTCTAGTTATTTATGCTTCGGTTTGGTCGAGTTAAATGTATTTCGAACAAGATATTTCATTGATATAATCTATTCCCGTCCCTCATACAAGTTTCATTTAACTCTCTATTTATCCGATTTTTTTCTGGTTCCGTACTCCATAATTTATACACATTACCATTACGTACTGACTGTTAATGTGTTTATCATCGATCGTGATAGAATCGCCAAATCTATCATTCGGAAAGCAGACCAGATAGTGAGATATACAAGGCTGAATGGTGAAATTCATTTCGGGAGAGTAGCAGAAGCAGAAAAATAAGTCATCGATAAATGAAATTACCTAATCATAGCACACGAACCCCACTCCATATATTCCAACCATAAGAATCTAATCTAAACTCAAGTACAACTCAAAGGTATTTCGGATATTTTGACCACGTTTAGCCACTGCCCAGATATTTTATTAACCATTTTTATGAGGCTCTAGTTGATATTTTCATTTCATTTCTTATACTCGGATTTCTACTTTAAATGAATCGGATAACCATATAAGTTCTACCTGTAACTCTGTAGAGACGGTTCCTAAAGTGCACTCCCTGAGGAGGATAATGGTACTGCTGTTGCTGATGTGGTGGTGGGCTCATGGCACAGCACTGAGAAGTGTCGTACCGATGATGCTGATGACGATATCTGGGATCCATGTTGAACGTTTTGATATAATCCTCAATTCCTATCAGGCTGTTCACAGCACTCTTAATACACTACTTAATGTAAGCACCAAACTATCACAGTCGAATCACTTTTGGGTTACTATTCCAGCAGATGTATACGTTAATAGTAATCAGTGGAAATATGTTGGAGCCTATAGCAGAATGACATATATATGTTGCAGTCAAAACTCATAATCGGTCAAAAATGGGTTTTGACCGATGCTCTTGGTCAAAATCACATCTGACTGATTTTAGCGGTGAACAGTGCTTTTGATCAACGTCGTTGATCAAAAGCACTGAAAATTACCAGAACAATCATCAAAAAGTTAATCTGTTTTTAGGGCGATATGGATGATATGACTTATTTAACACCGATTTTGAAGCGACGGCCTCATAACTCATACGCGTATTTAAAGTTATTTATAATAAACAATTCTGAGATAAACGTAATAACGCAGTAATGTTAACTTTAGTTAAATATATTCCGATGCCTATTCTTGCGTACTTAGGTAAAAGGCAGTAAAGCTAATTTACTGACCTTTTTAAATTTTGTCACCAATATAATTACAAAATATTTATATAATCATGTATCACTATACCGTTTTTATTCGCTATATGATGCAAACTGCCTGTTTACCCTTTTATAACCTATTATTATGTTTGCTTATTTACTTTTTATGTTAATAATTCTATTACTTGTGAATAAGTATTTACCGTTATAACTACTTTTGCTCCGGAAATTTTGAAAAATATTCTTTGTTTAATCAACATATTCGATTCAATTTAAAGGGCTCTATTCAGGCGACAATTACAATGGTATAGAAAAAGTCAATGGTAACCAAATATACACAAAACAATATAGACAATAGTCATCAACAAGAAAATAAATAATAAGAAATATAAGGAAACATCTTGTTTCTAGTTTATTTATATAATTTTTTTGTTGAACGTCATTATTAAATGTAATCATATAATTAAGTTGAATTATTAGATGTTGAAAAGGTTTTTTGTGTTATTTACGTGAATTTGAATCTAAAAAAATATATGAATATAAAATTCTGCATCCGCTTTTCCTTTGAAAAAATATAAATATATTATGAAAACTTCGAAATAGGCAATAAATTTGTTTTTTCAGAGTATAAAAGCAGTAAATCATAATACTTCTTTTTGATTTAAAACAATTAAAAACGAAATGTCGTTAATTTTAAGCCTTAACAACAATTTGATCCGATATCACATTTTAATGACTCTCTATATCTATAAAGGCATGTACATATGTAAATTTGCAACATTCATGTACTTTTGCTCTGTTATAATAATACTATCTATTTAGCTCGAAAAAATCCAAAATTTTGTACACAATTTTATCAGACTTCGATTTTTACACTTTATTGCCTTTTACAGAACAGTATTATTTAGACTACTTTGCACATACCACTTTAACATGTAAATACCAATACTTTTCAAATTGATTTCCTTTAATTGATTGATAGCGTACACCTGAATAATAGCGCATTTCTTCTAATCTTCTGAGAGATAAAATCGGGTAAAACCGGTTTACTCCAATTACTGTTAAAAGCAAACGAAGTAAAACAATGTGGTGAAATGGGTCGGCAGATAAAAGCAAATCAGCTGCCAGCGTTAATCCAACACATATAATGTTTGTTTGAAAATGCGTCTGAAATTCTATCACAGAAGAATTTGTAAACAAAGTCGTTACGGGATGGGTTCGGGAAAACAAATATATACAGTGTCATTAAGATAAAAATGGCAATATTTCTAGGGCATAAGTAGATCCTAAATAACACGAAAAATGTATACAAGTATGACAAAAAATATCGTTGAAACTATGATTACGAAATAAAAAATATATCTTTGGAGTGGATTAAGATACTGACTTAAAAAGTTGCCTCTATAATACTGGCAGCATAACCAATACATACAAAAATGTTCTTGCCTAAGACAACACCAGTGGCGTAGAAGTTAAAAAATGTTGACTCACCAGAAGAAAAAAGGAAACTGTTTCCTAAGCCACTGTCGTTTTTGTAACATCGATCGCATTTTTGAATAAGGTATTCAATGTTACATTAATTGCCTTGCCTTGAGAGATTTTAGTTAGACTAGAGTTGTAGAAAAATCTGTTTGAATTTGTAAGGTAGAATCCGTAAAAAGTCATCACCTCGTTCTCCTTTGAAAGTACGCTGAAGTTAGCAAAGTTTGACATTAAAAATGTATGAGACATTATTTGGACAATGTCTGTGTTTAGTCATCGGTGGCGTAAAACCCTGTATTTTGATAAGGATATTATATTGCCACGTTCTTCTGAATTAATCTGTATAAAGTAAGGTGGTAAATATACGTTAACTAGGTGTTTGAACATGGAGCAATAATTGGTCTGAAAAGTCCTAAGAATTCGTTTGTGTACTGTAGGATCTCTAGTAACAGTATCCGGCAAGGCTTTTTCCAAACTCATATAACAGACGAGGCCACATGGGGTGCTGCAAGAAAGAGGGAGCCAAAAAAGCAATGGGGTTAATGGGGTGTCAAGGAATAGAGGCAAGAGGGGCGACAAATGCATAACGTTAGATTCAAGCAAGAAACAAACAACCCACTCTGTCCCAAGTCCCAACAGTTCAGAATATTAATAAGTAACGGCGTGTATTGAAGCAATTAAGTCGGTAAACTAGCGATTTTACAAACTAATATGGAATCAAATCAGAAGACGCAACATCTATGCGTGAACGTGCAAGAAAAATATAAAAATGGTGAAAGGGCGAGGGGATTGAACATTTAAAATTCAAGTGTCGCTCCCACCATATTTAAAACATTCTTCCATAACTGGAAAATTCTAGTTTCATAAAAACCGCTGCCACATAATTATGGTGAACAATGGAAGGCACTGAATTGAAGGTCAAAATGGTACAGGACCTACAGGTCATCATATTTGTTTCAGAGGATTCAGGTAAGCGCAAACTGCAGAGTTACCGAAATCATAGCGAATTCTTTTTGTAGCAAAAACAAATAATACTATTTGCATCTAAATATCTACTAGATCTGCTACTAAATAGACCAGTGATTGGAATGAATTTATTGCAGTTAGTTGTAAAAAAATATAAAACAAAAGACGAAGGTTTTATAATATAGTATTCAACTAAGTTATTCGACAATACCACTTTCCTTTATAGTTTATATACTAATGTTGTTGAATATTGTTTTGTTTTCAAGTTGAACTTCTAATTATGCAAGGTTAAAATATATTTTCCTACTTTCTACAATAGTTCATTTAAATCAACCCTACGTGCAAAAAATAAACTTGATATTATCGCTATCTATTTAAATTGGTAAAATGTATAGCGCTTTGAAATTGGGTTAGCGTAAGTATCATGTGATACGTATACGATCTTTTCCCAATTACAGTATTTTTATACTCTTTTCTCTACGGAATACAAAAAATATCTGAGGCATTTTGAGTCCTCATTGATCTTACGAAAAAATTTCGAGTACTTTTTTTTGTTTGAATCGCCGAGATATTCCTCCAGGTATTGCTTTTCATGATTTGTATACTCTCCATAAATCTGTCCAACAAATGAAACCACAGATTATGAAGTGATTGTTGACATTTCGCCTTCCGCAACGTCATTCCGGGCGTTTTAAGACTACACAATCTGTATTTCTTCAAAGGTTCTTCATACATCTTGGTACTGAATAAAAAATGCGTATCTGTTTTGTTTCGTCATCATGACACAACACTGTTATTTTCCAGAAGACGCAAACTAGTGACTTTAAGGTAACGGAGCTTCATTTTTCACGCTTCGGATTCGTGTGACTAACGATCTCATGACAAGGCAGCAGAAATTTTAGTAAATTCATTAATACAAAATCTGTGTTTTCATTTATTGGCGAGATTAACGGATATGAGAAGCAACCACAAGACTAGGTTCACAAGTTACATTATTCAAAAATTACGATCATTTGTGCACAAAACAACTACCACACCAATCCCACTGTCAACATCACACGTCTCGCCCACATTTGAGCTACAATCAGGATCGCGCGCGAGAATTGGTCGGTCGCAACTCCTCTCCCGACGGTGACGTCGACGTAACGCGCGACCTTCCGCGATTCGCAACTTCCAACTCCGGAGTTGCAAACCGCCAACGCTCGGATGCTGGAAGGGGAGAGGTCGAGATCGATGCGGCGGCCGACGCGGGGTAAGCGCGGGGCGGGCGCCACACCACGTTGCTCCTGCTGGTGGACGGCGGACGAGCAACAGGTTGTTGATGACGGCTACATCCTCTAACACCACCAACATTGTGCGTCATGAAATAACAAACAAAACAACCCTACCCCACCATCTGAGTCAGATCGGCTAATTTGGGACAGTAGGCCTCTGCTGGTCAGAATAATTTAATTTCAAAAAGTAACTGTCACATTTTTCCAAAATGCTGTTTTTTGCTAAGAACGCTTTCTTAAATACGTTCATTTCCCCGTAATACACGTTGATTACATAAACAGCGTAAGTCCGCGAATTCAGTAGTTTTTGTTGTACGACTTTACAAAAGTCAGGTTGCAGGGAATACAGTATCCACTTCGCCTTATCCGCTTTGCTCAAAATCACTTATTTAAGAGTTGTCTTGCTCCCTACCAGAACCATTGACTGAATCCTCCACATTTCAATGACAGAGGACCCTTCGAATAGAAGCTAAATATTGGTCATTAACAATAATGTCCAAGAAAAATGGGAATTCATACAGTATGTTTTATAAAGATGTGTCAATAGGGTAGAAAGTACATCCAAAAATAACAAAACAAGTTCATATAAATATGGGTTCAAAGATGTTTCCCTACCGAGATATAGGGTGATGAAGTTTTATTCATGAACTTGAAAAAACTTATCTACGGAGCGGGCAAACATACTGAGTCAAGATTTTAGACGTTTAGTGAGCACATCATAAACAATAAACACACGCAGTTTTTTTCCGATCACACATTTTGGAGATACTTAGGTTCGAATATCTGAAGTAAAATCCTAAACTTTTTTCATGAGAAGGCTTAGATTCAACAAGAGCCTGTACTCTACACCACAAAGTCTCTCTCGAATATTTCTGGGGTAGTACGAAAAGTGTTGAAAACCTTCTGTATACTTCGTCCCCTTACTTCGTGTCCGAGGTTGCTAACGATTTGTGATATCTTCTTTGTTGAGCTCACTTAAATCCGGAATGCTAAAGAATTTTGAGAATAAATATTTTGAATTGATTGCTTCCACAATTACTAGGCAACCAAAACAATCTGATAAGGGTAATACCAGGAAAAGTATACTATGAAAACCAGTGACGTGCCTATACAGGGTTTGATATATGGCAAGCTTATACCATGGCTGTCTTTTCATGCCATATAGTGTCTCCAATATCAAGATTCACGGTGTTTTCATAAAAGAAGAGGCTGAGCCTTTTTGTGAGAATATTGTAGGATTTTACCTCAAATATTCAAACCTAAGTCTCTCCAAAACGACAAAGATTCCTTGAGAGACAGAATTTATGGCCAATCGAATGGTACTTTATAAAATGCACATCTTTTGTCCGGAAAGTCCAGTAGCGTAGAAGATATTCCCTATTAGGGGTCGAGGTGCCCCAGTTTCTGCGTCCATGGATTTAGTTTGAGTCTAGGAACTCTGTGTGTTTATTGCTGATGATGCTTACTGAACTTCTGAAATCCTAAGTCGGTATCTTCACCCGCTTCGTAGATATATTTTTTTTAATTTCGTAAATAAAACTTCATCACCCTGTAGCACGATAGGGGAGCATCTTTTAACTCATATTTATAGGAGTTTTTTATTATTTTTGGATGTACTTTCTACCCTAGAAATATTGGCACATGTTTCTGAAAGACCAAGTATACTAAGAGACAGAAAAAAGAACCCTCGATAATAAATTTATTACAAGTTTTTGTATTCATGTTTTTGAGGGATATGTAAGTGATTGATCAAAATTTCAGAAAAATCCAACCGTTGAAAAATATAAAAATTAACAACTAATTTGTTGGGCCTCCACGAAATCTTATGCAATCATCTTAAGGTAACTCTTCCCGGGCTGCTGGTACCTCGTGCCATTGGAGTCTGTGAAGGATAGTGTTAAATGGAATAATATTCTTTCCATAATGTCCCAGACGTGTTCAATGGGACCACGAATCGACTTGGTTGTCTTCAAAATGGACCAATATGATTCTGACTATAAGTGGTTTCGTTTTTTTTTATATTCCGACTACCACGAAGGCCTAAGGAATAAACACCCATGGGGTACCGTGGGGCTATAGGGGGATACAGGGAAAAGGGGGAACGCCACACGGACTCTGGCGAGGGAACACGTGTGCATGCAACATGCACACATTCTGGCCCCGCCTACGAGATCCACCGGGTGGTACCTCCGCGTTCGACAGTCAGAGACCGTCTACCACCTAAGGACAATCACAACATCCATAGCCAAGAGAAAACCCCGACATTCGAACCCGCACAGCACACGGCGACTGATCACAAGACCGAAGAGTCTAATAGTGCGGCCACCGCTGCTGCCTATTATTTTGTTAAAAGAGTGGATTGGTCTCTTCACCTCCTGGTGGTCGTGTTACGTCTGATGAACACCAAGGATGTCTTGCTTGTATGACAATAGCCCCCGATACCATAATTCCAGCACTGTGGTGCACGTGCGTTTCCATAGAGAATTGGGGATCTAGACTTTCGCTTTGTCACCTTCTCACCCTTGCACGGCCATCATACAGCCCCAAATAGAATCTGGGTTGATCACTAAAGAGAATGATATTCCGTTCGAGGTTTCAGTTCGGCAATTAATTCTCATAGGAGTGGGAGGTAGGACAAACTGAGGACGGTATGGAGCAAGACCAATATTCTTGCACCAGCAGTAAACAATTCGCATTGTAATAGGTTTTCCATGGTCTCCAAACTATTGACCCGCAATTGACCTGGTGGGCCAGAAGGGGTCTCGTAAAGCCTAAGGCGCCGATTTTAGTTTGGGGCCGTTCTTCTGACATTCCCTGTACCTCTAACTCTACGTGCATTGCCTATTCAGACATCTTGCAACCTGGTGACTATTTCTCTAAAGGACCAACCAGCATCACAAAAGCCCACTGTTCGCCCTCTATCAAAATCGGTAAGCTGTCGCTTTCTCACTCTACACATAATGGACAAATTAAAGTAGCATATTTTATGATGATCAGAGGCCAATTGCAGATGCAAAATACAATAATCGCTTACTTAGTTTGTTTGTAAAAACAGACGAAAAGTTGACCTTTTTTTGTTCTAACCTAAACAAACATATACCTAGGAAATCTTTGCGAGAAACTCACTATTCCTGGGTGTTATTTTTTTCTATGTCACTATATTTGTGACATATGTATACAAGTGGCTTGCCTTATTTTGGTTCACCCGATAAATGCAGCTGCACTCGACGGCCAATCAATCATATCACGAAATAACAACAAAAGTAGTGACACTGATACATGTGCCTAGATCGCTATTGTAGGAGAATATTCGAGTATACTCAGTCATTCTCTGTGAAATTTTCATTTCGGTATATTTGTAACTTTACTGTTTTCTACCTGTAGTAACATTCATAACTCAATATAAAAATTTTCTCAGACATAGCACCTCCTCTAGCTGTCACCGAAGTTTCTCGACAGCCGAAGTTATACAAACGCTCGCATACAACACATCCAGAAACTCCGCATTGAAGTTACGCTTTGTGTGATGACTTAATGCGAGTCTCTCAACACAAATCTGTATACAATAGGCACCTGGATATGAAAGCAGCCAACACATACAACTGCCGGTATTATACCAACGCTTGTCTGTACTCATTGATCAGTGCTTCGCATTTCACAATTCAATTCTCCGGGTAAATAGATTCACTGTGCAATGTTCTGCTTGGCAGCATAATTCCTTTCCAAAAATTTGGTCAAATACGCGTTAACGTATAAATTTTTGAATTATGTAAATAATATACTAGAAGATTATACAGGCTGTTTCACAACTTATCTGACAAATTTTAACCACATATGCACTGTTACGAAAGAAGTTGATTTCTCAAAAACAAATGTAATAGAAAACCTACAGAAATTAAGTTATAAACCTGAGTTTCAATAATAAATTGAAAAATAATAATATCTGTTTTACTTTCATCGTCGTGATATTAGTATACGCATTAATAATTTATTGTAGCAAATGTTGTACCAAACAACTAACGAAAACAAAACACCAGGAATTTTTTGCTTTTTTCATACTGATAAGAACGTGTAAATAAGGTTTAACCTGTATCGTGGGTGATTTGAATGAAGAACGGTCGATTTTTGTGAAGTTAAATAAGAAAGTATTTTGGGACTTTATGTTTTTAGCTATTTATTAATAAAAGTGGCACATGTGTACACTAATGAGGAGTTAGTGGACATTGTTTTAGGGTACAGAGAAGCAGAGCAAAATTCGCGAGCGGCTTCTCGTTTATATGCCGATTTCCGAATAGGCACATACCACATCACGAAACATTTAGTTCAGTTGTTTTACGTGCACGTGCTGGTGGAGATTAGACGAGCCTAAGCTTTCATTGCAGTCAATGGAAACAGCTTTGAACATCTTTTATAACTTAGTGAACTGTTAAACTGTATTATTAAAAATCAACTTCTTTTGTAACAGTGTATATGTGGTTAAAATTTGTCGGATAAGTTGTGAAACACTCTGTATACCTTGAAGGAGAGCTGTGTCATTATTGCCAAGCACTTTTGCACAGTTTATTTATGTATTGGGTATTTTTTAATAAAAAGACAAATGTTAATTGATTGACTTGTCTAGATTTTATTTATGAAACAGTAAAGGTTTATACTTAGGAACTTTTACTTTATTCACCACTGGCGAGGAAGTGTGTTTTTTATGTTACCATGTCTTTGGATGTTACATGTACCATCAGGGTTATTACGTAAAAAACCTGTATAATTTTAAAAAAACTCTATAAAATGTCAACTTGTTGACTTAGTAGGCTAGTGTGTAAATAGTTCACTCCGTGCTTGCTACAAGTGAGCATGAAGTGAACGACAGGTAGTTACAAGTTGACGAATTGTTGGAGAACCT